AGTCGATGTCATCATTAGGAAACCATGGCATAAGCATTCACTACGATATATGAATTGCTTTGTTTTTTCTACTTACGGTTGATATGATGTATACATCAACTAAACAATATTTTTTTAGTCAAGGTACCTAGTGATTTACCTTTTAAATAGCTTTATTTTTATGAGCATACATTCATTCTTTCTCTTCTCGCACTCGATGCTAGGCCTCGCATTTTGAGATGATCGAAGAATGTGAGCTGGAGCTTAACATCTATACATAATTTTTTTTGGAACTCGACCTGGACTAGTAGCACATTTGTACTATAAATTTTACAAAAAAACAGATGAGAACATGTTATTCGATTGATAGATTTATGTAGGTTTTTTATTCCCTCGTGAATTTAAGGGATGAGGAGCAACTCCTTGCTCCATCAATTCACGATGTTGTGGTATTGTGGTAGTTTCGTAGATGTATCATTGTTGTTTTCTTATACAAACACAGTCAAATTACCACAGAATTATTAATAAATTACCACAAAAAAACTACAAAATTACTACAAAAAAACACAATAATACCAACACAGTACTAATAAATTATAATCACAAAACCACATGTCATTCTAAGTGAAAAACGGAAACAACATTATTACCAATTATAAAACATATTTATGGATAGTCTGCATATGAAATGGACAAAACATCTAGAAAAATGACATACTATAAACTTATGTGAACATAATACATTGTTTCCAACAATGAATAAGGCTTTGTATGTTTCACTCATGTTATGTAATATTATAGTCAATGGAATCCATCATCGAGTTGATATATGTTTGTGTGGACTGTGGTGCACTTCAAGATGCATAGAATTTCTATTATTTTATAGTAATCATGAGCATATGATTAAGAAAATACACATATATTAATTTAATAGATTAGAAATGACTTTTAAAAAATGCTAAGGAAAATGAAAATCAGACCCGCATGAAATAATCTGACATAGAATTTCTATTATTTTATAGTAATCATGAGCAGATGATTAAGAAAATACACATATATTAATTTAAAGATTAGAAATGACTTTAAGAAAATGCTAAGGAAAATGAAAAGCAGACCCGCATGAAATAATCTGGATCTGACATTGCAGATAAACAGGTGCCACATGAGGAAATGATTGATTATTCAAATGATGAAGGCTCTTTCTCCTTTATTCTGTTATAAAATAGAGAATTAGTTAGATAAACTTCATAATATATACAAGTGAGTTGATATAGTATACAAGAATATATACTTTCGACTCTCTTATTTTTCTCTTAATGCTCTTTTAATCTAGAATTAGATATACTCTTTGGCGCATTTTAGCTTGGTCCTTTAATTTCACAGTGCATTCTCTCTTCTCGGTCTTCTTTTTGTTTGGCTTTTGCGTCAATTAAATTGATTTCTCACTCAATATCTAGTGAAAATTGTCAGGTAATTTTTTTAATGATATATATAATTCATATTCTTTATTTCCTTGGGCTTTGGTGCTTATTTGATATTAAAATTTATGGTTGTAGGTGTGAAATATAACATCACTAGAATAACCATTCTTCACTTGTCTCTTTGAAATGGCTATATTCATTACAAATATAGAAATCTCTTTTAGCATCAATAGACTATCCCAAGAGGAGATATTTATTAGGTATCTTCGTGGTATTTTCTATGTTAAAAACTCTTATGCGGTAGGTACATAATAACCTCATCATCTCAATTGTTGTTTAAACTACAACTTATTTCAGAAGTTCTCTTCTCAAATTTAACAATTCAATGTTTACATGTCCCTTTATTATCAAAATTTTTAATGTAATAATATAAATGACCATTAGCAAGTAAATATACAACACGACTACTACCCCATGTAGAGGCTCTTCTTCAAAAAATGAATACAAATTCCTTAAATAGAATGAAGTCGCTTACTTTAGCACAGGGCTACTTTTAGCAATAGGAACAGTTATGGATTGAGTGCATCTAAAATCCTCGTCCTTCTTATTTCATCTTCATGTTTTGATGATATTTTCAAGTCTGAAAAAATAATCGGTGATAAAGCTTATTAGCTTGGAGATACCGCGACACACATTATATGTAGACTTGCTTATTTGTTTTGCAAAGACCTCTAATACAAATATATCTTTATTAAATGTTGTTAACCACTTATTTCTAATATCGTACAAATCAGATAGCCAAACATTATTATATAGGTTATCTTTTTTAATAATATTTATACACGTTTGTTCAAATTTTTCTTCAGAATCACACTTACTCATACATGTGTCAAATAGATCATTTATTGCCTTATTACCATTGTAGCAATGAATTTTTGAAGAAATTTTTTTAAATATATGCCACCGACATAATCAGTGATGAGTATGTGGTAATGAATCTTTTATAGCTCTCACTAGGGCTTTATTCTGATCAATAAATTTTATTATGGGATGCTTATCATCCTTTTTACAAAGAAATATTTTGAATAATTAATTTAACGACTCCATTGTCTTATCTAATAAAAACCTCACTTTAAAAAGAATATTTTGCCAATGTTGGTTTATACAAAAAAAAAGCACAAGAAAGTTGTATTTATTCAATATAACTTATATAAAAAATTATAACATCTCCAAAACAATTATAATCAAGCTTTGACGTGTCATCATTCCAAAAAAAACTGATCAACTTACCAAAATCATCAATCTGGAAGTTTCATGTAAACATATTATATGCAATTTATCTCTGTGTGAGCAATTATATTTAAAAATTAGTGTCACCATGTTCAATTCTTGTTATTCTTTCCTTTCGAATAAAACTGAATGCATCTCTTTTTTTTACATCCAATTTTAGTCCACAAACTTTCATAGCAAAAAAATTGAATGCATCTGTAATTATAATCTCTGCTTCTATCATCGATTTCCGCACATCTCCATTAATATCACTAAT